TAAGAGATGTATCGTACTACCCTTCTAGAAAGCCAATTGGTCGTGGTATGGATGCATATGAACCAATATGCTCATCCTCATCTACTAACGTTGATGGCATACCGTGTCCTAAACCACACTCTGGAATCCGACCTTCCTTGCCTCGTGTTCGCTCTACTACCAAAATAACAAAAACGATTTAAGAAAATAAAAAAAATTAAATCGAAACACCTCTTGCAACAGTTCTGATATATTAAATTCACAACCTACCGGGACATTGTGCAAAAGCGTTCTGGTGAAGATTCCAACAAAATCGGAAGATTTTTCAAATGAGTTCTATAACACCCTAAATATCCCCCGTGTAATTTAAATAAATATCAAAGTAAAATTCAACAATTAAACATATTTAGGATGCTACTGCTCAACAAACACCTACTCATACTTTCAGATATGTAACACATGTACTTTTAAAATTACTAAAAGTAATCATAATAATAAATCATGTCTGAAAAATCAACTTTATTAAAGCAGCAGGAAATCAACATCAACTAAATCCTCAGAACATAAACATGTTTTTTTAAATAAACATAAATAATCAAATTCTCCAACAAGACATAAAAGACGAAAAGCGTTCCATAACCCCGGTGTTACACATCAGAGCAGACGCCGACACTAAAGATAAAATGTAAGACTTCATCTTCCACTCACATCAACTCCTCTACTACGAGTTATCTATATGATGCCCCATGTAAAAACAATATTCAAACAGAAGAGGTGATATATCATATTATATAAAGGAAAACATGATAATAAGCAAGTATTAGATTATTACATGCACAATCATCCTTTCCATAACATACACCACACAAGCAACTCAACCAATATCCAAACACAACAACAAACACAAACAAGAATGCAATGCATTTAGACTTACAACTCGGCTTAATGCATATGGCACCATTCAATTTCTATTTCAGAACCCGATCCCTATTTCAGAATCACAATTCTCGTCGAAATTTTCAGTACGTCGCTCACACCCCACATGGGCACACTACTACCATGATTGTTCACACTCCACATGAGCACACGATCACCTTAACGACAACAACAACAATATGATTCTGCAATTAAAATTTAGATAAGACGCTCACACCCCACATGGGCATACGACTTATCGCACAACTCATGTAATTATAAAATACATGACAACAACAATAACAACCTTCATCTAAATAATGCATCACACCACTCAGGCCACAGCACAACATGCCATATAGTGCAGCAAGACATACAACATAGCAAGCAACCACAAGACATTTACAATTATATCACATCTGAACATAACAATAATAATGCATTTAACCCAATAAACAACAGAATTATTCAACTTTTGTTAGCGAAACTATTTTTAGATTAAAGTTCGACACGTCAGCTTTCTGACACTTCGAACGACACTCGAATCGGACTCCCGAAATAAAAGTTATGAATTTTTGATTTTTTTTTTCTTTTCAAAATTGGTCTTAGTGTAACCGGTTACTCAAAATGATGTAAGCAATTACACCCCTTGTAACCAGCTACTGCCACGTAAAATACACACAGCGTAACCGGTTACCTAAATCATGGTAACCGATTACACCCTCATAGATTTGTCCAAAAATACCATTTTCAACACTATGTAATCGGTTACTCCCACAGTGGTAACCGATTACACTGTATGCAGAATTATTTTTTCTGCAACTTTTTACACGAAAGTCACTTTTGACTCATCCCTAAACACCATTTTTCTTATAAAACGTTTATACTACATTTTAACACGAAAAATTACTTTTATGCAATTCAAAAACTCCAAATTATTTTCACTAAAATTACTCATAACTCTGTTCCGACTCTAACTCGCGATTTCACTTAACACTAACATCAACACCAAGCAACCACTGATTAAACAATTTCAACAACAACAACGAATGCAACAATTTCATCAAAATACACCAATCGCAACATCAACATACAACATTCATAAAAAAATCAATCGAATTCAACAAATACCAATCCATCAAAATTATGAATAAAGAGAAGAAAACTCAACCCTACATGGCATAATATACACACCATCATCATGTTAACCCTTAAATAATTAAAACTCCACCCTTATCTTAGAGTTCTTGCACAAAGCTTCACAAGAATAGAGTTTTCTCTCTTACCCTAGCCTTTCTTCCTTCTCTCTTCTTCTTTTTCTCCCAAAACACATTCCGACAAAACTATCTCTCCAAATCTCATTTTCTATTATTATTATTGATATTATTCTCTTCTAAATAAAATAATAATATTAATCACTAATTATTTATTTTAATAATATTTAACTAATATAATAATTAACTAAATATTACTAATATTATTTTAATTAGTTATTCTCACTACACCATAAGTTCTACATAATTGGTCATACACTATCACCCTTAAAGTCTATTTCTTAATACCAATACTCCACACCAAGGTAGCTCAACACATCAATAACACAACACAATTATCACATAAATAAATTACGAAAAATAAATAAAATAAGTTAGAGCGTTACAATTTTGAATTGTATCTTAATACCATAAGGGTTTTCACACGTGTTTCGGTGATATAACAATACCAGTCAGCTTACCGATTCAGTTTCGATTTGAAAAACATGTATTGGAAGAACTATCAAAAACATTCCGAAATAAAGATTAATTTTGCATGATCAAAACACTTGAAAACGAGAGTGAAGAAAAGTGAACTTTTGTATAAATAAATTATTAATATAAAAATATTTTAATAAAAAATATATAATATAAGAGGAAAAGAATAAAATTTTCTTACATTCATTAATCAATCAATTAATATGTAATAATTGAGACCATTCAACGAAACCAACATATATCCTATTTCAATGTAAGCAAATTATTAGCTTTTATAATAAAAAAATTACTTAATTAGCTTACCTCACTTTCTCATTGACTTGTTTGAAACTTAATTTAGGTCATGATAACATGTTTACAACAGAAAAAACGAAATAAATAAATAAAGAAAAGGAACATGTAGTGTATGAAAATTTGGAAGAAAAGAATTGTAAGAGAATAATAGTGTTAATTTGATTAATGTAACATGAGTTTTGTGTTTTGCCTAATGTGTGAAAGTGGAAAGCATGGAATGCGTAAAAGCCACTCCGAGTCATACAGAAGACAGCAACTTTTTGACCCACTAAAATGCCATACCTTCTAAACCTTTTATTAACATTAAAAAAAGAAAATACAGCAAACTCAAACACATGTTACAATTTTTATTTTTAGTTGGTTTTTTTTTTAAAAAATAATTAAATATAAGTACGGGATCCAGTATCTTAGTATCCAGACCACCTCATATCTGTCTGATATATATATATTTATAGGGACATGCTAACTGGAGACACTCTTTAAAGATTTCAAATATAAAAAACATTGCATTGAATACAACTCTTTTATAAAAAAAACATATATTTTATTTTTTAAAATATTAATTATTTTAATTTTTAATGTATTGAATACAAGTAATTTCAAACAAAAATATTTCTTTTTAAACTCTTAACGAGTGCTCTAGAGAGACTCTTTAGCATTTTCTATATTTATATATTTTTATTTGTCATTATTATGTACATAGGTTATTTTAATAATTTTATTAAATATATCACTATTAAATTTTTATATATTTTAATATAAATATTTATATATTTCTTAACTCAACAATAACATCTTCAAATTTTTTTCAATATTTTTAAAAAATTAAAATAACATGATAAATTATAATTGATCGATAATTTTTTTTATTAAAAATACGGATAAACGGGTATGAATACTAAAGTACTCATAAGTTACAAGTACGTGTACAAACATCGGTGCCTATTCGAATAATGGACTCGAATACGAGAATTTTTTTAAATCGCAGATTTGGAGACCGGTATTATAGTAGCCTGACAAAACCCTATCTATTTTCATCTCTAAATATTAAAACTTTAAGAAATATTACATGATTTCATTATATTTTTAGTGTTTAAACTTTTTTGATACATTATTATTTATAAATATTTTTTTTTGAAAGGATAACAATTATAATAAATTGAGTATAATTTTATCATTATATTTTAGAAATGACTGACAAATGTTTTAAGAAGTCGGTGAAACATATCATTCATACAAACAAATAAATATTTATTATTAATTAATATAATTTAACTTAATTTTTAACTTTTAAATAAAATGAAAATAATTATAATATATTAAATTTCTTTTATTATAAATTTAACAAAAAGTAGATGCCATTAATTTAGGAATCAACGTTTTTATATTATTTTAAATTTAAACACCAACATCAACATTAATTTACATAAATTATTATTATTGTATGACTTGATTATATTAGATTCTTTAAAATAAATATAAAAGAAATATTTATCATTGATTTATATTTAAAAATACATGACATGTCTCCAAATTTTATGGTTATAAATATGTAAAATAAAGTAAATAAATATGTATGAAAAATATAAATACATAAAAAAAGTGTAAGCAAAATATTTGTCACAATTTAATATATAGTGTGGAAAAAATGTCTTTTAGTAAAAAAAATATATTTGTTGATTATAAATGTAAACAAAAAAATGTAAGACGCATATTTATCTTTAATATATAATACAATATATAACAAATATTTGTCATAGATTTAATGATTTAAAAAAATAGATTAAATTTGTAATTAGTAAATATACAATAATGTCGAAGATAAATATAAAAAATATATAATGAACAAACATTTTTCAAAAAATATATAAAGTACTAAACAAATATTTGAATTAATAAATCAATTATGCGCAAATTTGCAAAGTTAATTCTTTCATGCATATAATAAAAAACAAGCTACGATGACCATAATCATTTTATTGGAGAGTATAGTGATTCACATATAAAAACACATCTTCAAATATTAATATTTTTAAAATTTATAAATTATTGAACTAAGAGATGGTGACCGTGAAAAGGGGACGAGGGCGGCCGAAAGCTACGGTGCCACCGTCACCTGAAACCCTCACCAACTTGAAGACACCAGAACGTGAATCAAGCAACACCATTGTTGTCGGTCAGACTTCGGAGAACACTTCAAGAACCACCATTGGCGAAGACAAAGCTATGACAAATACCTTGATATGGGTGAACAAGGAAACCCTAACAAAACCAATACAACCACAACCTGAAGAGCGTAAACCTTGAGTTGATGTGATAAATGACAACCGGAACCCTGCAAGAGGAATGACTATCGAGTACGTTGCGCCTAAGCTCATCAACGGAGTGTTTGAAATAAACATTGAACAAGAAGACATTGAAACAGAAATACAATTTTGGGATAATGCTCTAATCCTTTATGTTGTGGGTGATGACCTGAGTATGAACACGGTGAAGAACTTTATGCAGAGAATGTGAAACTTCGTGAAGATGCCAGATCTGTATTACCACAATGATGGTTATTTTTTGATCAGGTTTAGCTCCCAAGAAGATAAGGAAGCAGTTATGATGAAAGGGCCATACACGATTCGAAACATGCCCATGATCTTGAAAGAATGGCAAACTGGTTTCAATTTGAAGAAGGATCTACTGTGAACCTTACCAATTTGGGTCAAACTTCCCCAACTTCCCCTGCATCTATGGGGGGCCAAAAGTCTCAGCAAAATCGAAAGTGCTACTGGCAAACCATTGGTGACTGATGAGTGCACTGCAAATAAGCTTCGTGTCTCATATGCAAGATTATTGATTGAGGTAGACATTACTCAACCTTTGACAGATGAAATAGCCATAAGGAATGTTGAAGGAGATATAATAATGCATCCTGTGCACTATGAATGGAGACCAAAATTCTACGAAACATGTCAAAAAATGGGGCACCAGTGCGAGGATCGTGGGAAGAAGCAACTATGGAAACCAAAACTTAAGCCACCAGAAATGTCCATAAACATTACACCTGTTAAACCACCAGAAACAGAAGACACAACAGAAATAGGAAGGGATTCTTGGACAAGAGCACGGAAGTCTGTAAGGGATAAAGGTAAACACATAGTTACTGATACAAACAGCAACATAATTTGTAACAATGGTTTTGAGGCGCTTGAGGTTTTGAATGGCCATCAAGTGACCATCAACCCTGAACCATGTTAGTATCTTGGAACATAAGGGGACTCAATAAAGTAGGCAAAATTCGTGAGATTCGGTCCCGTCTCCAAGAGCTAAAGCCTGCTATCATTATTCTGATTGAAACCAGAGTAAAAGAAGATAAAGCCAAGAACATTTGAGAGAAACTGATGATATATGGAAATCATATTGACAATTACAAGGACCATCCAAATGGTAGAATCTGGATCCACTGGGATAAGAACAGGGTGAATGTGCAATTCATTAGAAGTAGCAGTCAATATATCCATTGTGGTATCTATGATAACTGTGGAATTTTCAAGCACTGGCTAACCACAATTTATGCTCATAAATATCTTCATCAGAGGAAAACCTTGTGGACAGACATTGAGCAAATTTATGTTGGCATCCATGGGTCTTGGTGTGTTATTGGTGATTACAACAATGTAATCAAATCTCAAGACAGAATTGGTGGGAGTTTAGTGACTGAAAGAGAATACATTGATCTGACAAATATGATGGAAAACACTGGCCTGAGTGAAATGGACAGCATTGGGGATCATTTCACATGGTCTAATAAACAAGCAGTTGGTCCCATTTACTCTAGAATTGATAGAGTGTTAGGCAATACTGATTGGTTCCTCACTAACTTGGAGACTACTCTTAAAATCCTTCCTCCTAATATCTCTGATCATGCCATGTTGTATCTGCTTTATAGCCAAACTCAGAGGAAATCCCCTAGACATTTTAAATTCAGCAATTGCATTACTAATATGCCTGGCTATGACACTTTGGTTAAGAAGAATTGGGAAGGCCTCCTTAGAGGTAGTCCAATGTTTGTTTTTGGCACAAGCTCAAGCTTTTGAAACAGAATCTGCAACAATTCAACAAACCTATTTCTGATGTTAAGACCAAATTGGTATCTTCTAGAACAAACCTAAAAGAAATCTAAGAGCAGCTGAGGAGTGACAGATTAAACAACAATTTGATTTTGACAGCAAAAGATTTGACTGAAGAAATCATAGCATTGAATGAAATGGATTGGAAGATTCTGCAACAAAGAGCAAAGATTTATTGGATTAAAAAGGGAGATGGCAACAATCAATATTTCTATGCTGCTATCAAGGCCAGACATCATTCCAATTGTCTTAACAACCTGAAAAAAAGAGATGGCAGTCAGACCAATTCCATATCAGACATTGAAGAGGAGGTGCTTAATTTCTACAGCAACTTAATGGGCAAGGATACTGAAAACATCAATCACATTGATATTGAGGCCATGAGAATGGGAAAGCAGCTTGACAATTACCAAAGGGAATACCTTATCAGACCTATATCAGAAAATGACATTACCACAACTCTTAAGGGAATTGGAGACCTCAAAGCACCAGGTTTGGATGGATTTGGAGCCAAGTTTTTTAAAAGCAGCTGGACAACTATAAGAGAAGATGTGATAGCAGCTGTGAAGGAATACTTTGAAACAGGAAAAATCTACAAAGCTTTCAACAATTCTATTGTGTCCTTAATTCCTAAAGGGAAAAGTGCTTATGAAATCCAAGATTACAGACCTATAGCTGTCTGCACCACTTTCTACAAGATTATTTCAAAGATCCTGACTAACAGATTAGGAGCTGTCATTTCTAGTGTGGTAAATCATAATCAAGCAGCTTTCGTACCAGGTCATAACATCCACCGGCACATCATGCTTGCTACTGAGTTGCTTAAGGGTTATAACAGGAAAGGAGGCACACCTAGAATCATGATTCAATTAGATCTGCAAAAAGCTTATGATATGGTTAACTGGAAGGCTCTAGAGTGTATCATGAAGGAGATGGGATTCCCTAACAAATTCATTCGTTGGATCATGATGGGCATCACCACTGTATCTTATAGATTTAACATCATGGGAGAGTACACTGATATTCTGCAGGCCAAAAGGGGAATTCGTCAGGGTGATCCTTTATCATCTATGTTGTTTGTTCTCATAATGGAGTATATGAACAGATTGTTGATGAAAATGCAAAGAGACCCTAATTTTAACTACCATGCCAAATGCGAAAAGTTGAAAATCACCAACCTTACCTTTGCTATTATGTTCTATTATTCTGCAGGGGTGATGAGATCTCTTTACATATGATTCTTCATACTTTCAGGGCTTTCTCCATGTCCACGGGGTTAATTATGAATCCTAACAAATGCAGGATTTATTTTGGAGGTCTAGACAAAGAAAAGAGAAAGGTTCTGAAAGAGGTGTCTGGTTTCCAAGAAGGTACGTTTCCTTTTCGATATCTCGGTATACCGCTGGTTGGCAGAAAGCTCAACATCACTCACTTTATGCCCTTGGTGGAAAGAATAGTGGCTAGAATTCACCATTGGTCTTCAAAACTTCTAAGTTATGCTGGCAGAATTCAATTGGTGAGAAGTATAACAACTGCAATGGTTCAATACTGGCTGCACTGTCTTCCTATGCCCAAAACAGTGATAAAAAAGATTGACTCCATTTGTCGCAGTTTCATCTGGATCGGCAAAAATACAGTGAGCAAAAAGTGTCTTGTGGCTTGGAAACACATGAGCTGTCCTACTGCTCAAGGTGGGCTAAATCTGATAAATTTGCATATTTGGAACAATGTCCTGCTCTTAAAATGCTTATGGAATCTGTGCAAAAAATCTGATACCTTGTGGGTGAAATGGATCCATATTCATTACTTTAAAGACAAGCAGATCATGAATTATGAAATCAAAACTCAAAACTCCTGGATCATGCGCAACATTTTGAAACAAAGGGATACCATGGATCTAATTAGGAACGAATGGAATCAACTTCTGATTTCACACAGGTTTAAGGCGTCGATTTTCTACAGGGTTCTGATCGATGACGGCACAAGAGTGCCTTAGAAAAACTTAATTAGATCCAATAAGAGCCGACCGCGAGCTGTTTTTTGTCTATGGCAAGCTTGCCATGGTAAACTTGCAACCAAGGATAGATTAAAGCGTTTTGGCATGATTCAAGACAGTCGGTGCAGTTTATGTCATACCGAGGAAGAGACGATGAACCATCTATTTTTCTGCTGTCAAGGAACAAGACACATTTGGAAGAAAGCGCTCCATTGGTTTAACATAGTTCATACTCCTCAACCTTGGGATGCCGAGTTGATCTGGATAACTAACATGACCAAAGGTAAAGGCTGGAAAGTGGATATTTTCAAAATGCTAGTGGCTGAAACCATCCACTGCATCTGGGGGTATCGTAATAGTGCTACTTTTGATAAACCTGTAGATATTACAACCGTAGCTACTAACATTATAGATAACGTAACCTATAGAGGGTGGCAAAACCTTAAAATTAGGAAGCATCTTGTTAGCTATATGATGTAAATTGGTCTTTTTTGTTGGGTTGGATCCTACGTGATCACCACTTTTGTACTTCCTTTCGAATTAATATATTCTTCCTTTAATTCAAAAAAAAATATTTTTAAAATTTTTAATAGCTAAGTTAAAAATTATATTATATTTTATTAATTAATCAGATATATTTTCCATTTTATTTTTTACTAACACATAACATTACAATAATTTATATAACTAACTCATCCAATCGCACGAGTATTTGTCTAGTATTAAAATAAAACATGAAATAAGAAAATGCAAAGTTGTTTCTACAATCCACCACAATTTTCATTTTCATTTGAATTTTTTTTCCAACTTGCACATAAGTAACAATGTCTTATAACTTCAATTTTGTGTAGTGTATAAAATTCACATTTTATTCTGGATATGCATTTTAGATGTAGAAAAATAAAAAACAACACAATGAGAATTTTGTGGTGGCATGTTACTAAAGTAGCTAATGAGTATTTAGTGGCAGCGGAATTGCATGATAGTATGATAGATTTAGTTATGGAGGATAAGTAAATAAGGAGGTTTCCTCCTCTTTCAGGTTGAGTGAGATTGAACACAAATGAAACTAGTAAGAATGACTTGATATTTGAATGTGTTGGTCTTGTAAGAGGTTGTACGAGTGAGTAGTTTGGAAGCTTCACAAGATGTTTTACTTCTAGTAGTGCATATATTATTGAACTTTTGGGGTGTGCTAGAAGGATTAAGATTAACAAAGGAATTTGGGTTTTGAGCTCTTGAGCTTTATATATATTCCAAAATGGTTGTTCAAAATATTTTGGATTCTGAACAGGATAGTATAACTGGAATGCGATTGGTGCAACAAATTCAACAGCTATCAAATTGGATTGGGAGGTGTGTGTTTGTCATATTTATCGTGAGTCATACACTTGTGCGGATGCACTTGCCAACATGCTGTGTGATTTAGGTCCTAATTTGATGCTTTATGAGCGAGTTTGTGCTTAAATTTCTCTTCTTTTGTTAGTTAATTGTATTGGAGTCTCCGCTCCTAGGTCCATTGTTATATAATATTTTTTCTTTGGGTTTCGACCCTCTTTACTTTAAAAAAAATCATATTTTACTGGAGTGACTTATAATATTATGAAAGCACCTTATATTCATACCAACATTGGAACACTCTTATGAAAACAATTGAGTGGAGATGAGAAGAAGCAATATAAGATGGTTCAGCGCCTCATTTTTGAAAGTGGCTAAAGTAATCCATACACATAGCTTCTAAAAGATGCAATCATAGAAATGAATAGAACACCCGTTAAACTTGATACATATCCTTTTATCAATAGGGATGTGGGAGATAAACTAATTGGAAAATAAACCCACCTCGACGATAGCCTTTGATGCGATAACCTCCTGGGTGCAGGAGGACATTATCCCCCAATACACATGATCTACCCAGAGATATTGATCCGCATAAGTTGGCTCCAACAAATGCTTAAGTCAAACCATACTCGTCTCCGCATCTTAAAACATATCATTTTGATCATCAAGAGTAGATCAATTCTGAAGGAAAACATAAATCCAAGAACACCCATGAGGGGAATCTTTCTTAAGAGACTGGAGAAAGTAATTAGTCTTATGTTTTGTCATCCTAGATAAAGCAATACTCAAATTAAATTTGGCACGAGCAAGAGAGGTAGTGTGAACATCAATTTCTCCCATTATCGGATCATCCTTATTAATCGAAGAGTATGATTTTGACCCAGAGCTAACACCGAACACATTTTGAGCAGGAACGTGAGAATCCAACCCCATAAAAAAATGTCCATAAGTTTTAGATTCTCAACTCTGACATAGGATGAAGACTTGTCGCTGTAAGGTTAAAAGGTCATGTTTATAGGTACATTAGGAAGATAAGACACAAGAATAAGGATGATCCACAATGAAAAGATGACGAATGATCATAGTTGCTGGAACTAAAAAACAATAGAAGAAGTCAAGGGAGAGAAGAAGATTTTGAATGGTAGACGAAGCAAAAGAGACATTTGAAAAATGATCCATTTATTTATAATAAGGTAATTAACAAATCAATAGCCCATATTAGAAAATGAAAAGGCGATCCAAAGATGATAATTCAATCATTCCTTGAAAATATAAGTATTCAAAGACACTCGAATACCCTAGAGAGAAAATCTACGACCTAACCTGCAGGTCTAGAACCACGCACTTGGGAGAATGACTAAACATCTCAATGACAAAAAAGACACTTAATGCACTTGTTCTCCACTATTTTTATAATTGTTCCACGACTTTCCCATTTCTCCTTATGATCATACATGATTGTAAGATGTCAGCCACAACTTTGAAATACTTCTTGGCTAGAAAATACATGACAAGTCTTGGAGACAGTTGTTCTACGTCGACCAAAGACCTAAGGCGGAAGCTCAACCACACATAATCCAATTGAAATTACTCAACGTATATAGTCAGCACGCATGAAATTCAATGTACACTTTTCTAATATCCATTTTTTACTTCATTCATCTTGAACTATGTAATTGACTTGAAAATTAAAGTGATAACCTTGTAAATCCACCCCATATCACATTGTCGGAGATCAATACCACTACTTCAAAAATTCAACCTCAATCAATCAATCAATTCTAATTCGCATATTAAAAAAAACGATAATATATTAAAATGACTATTCTTTTTCTTTCAAATATACTCTTTTTAATTTTTATTTTAAATTTTAACTTCTCTTTTTAACAAATAGTAGTTATGTGTTGCTTTATTATCTTTTATACCATTATCTACTACTATTATTTTAAAAATAATAAATAATAAAATAAAAATTAATTAAAAATAATAATATAATTTATATTTTACACGTGTAAATATTATAAAAAGCGGACAGTCGGACACAGACACAGAACGCTAGTTTTCTTTTATGGAAATTATTACATTTTTATGTAAAAAAAAAAACTTTAAATTACAATTATTTGTAGTAATACATTTGTTTTTTTTTTGAGAAAGCCATTAATATTTTCCTTAGCTTCCTCTACTTTGGACAAAAGAATTTCCACTAGTAAAGTGGCAGGCAGCAACAACAGAGTCCCGAACGGCGCACAACAAACAAACCGTCCCAAACTCTCATCATCTTCTTCTTCTCCTTCTCTCTCTATCTCTCTCTGAATTTGCCGATTTCAACATTAGGTAACCATCGATTGCACCTCTGTATTCGCCGATTTATTTTTCCTATAATCATTCATACAAACCATGTTTATGCGCCTAATTTCAAATTCAATTGCTTTAATTACGATTATAACAATATTAAAAATGATTATTATTATTCATGGTTAGTGGGTCTTGACTTTGAATACCGTTTTTTCAGCATTTATTTCGGATCCTTCTGACTTTACCACTCTGCTTAATCTCTTTCAGGATTTTCCATTCCCTTCATTTATTTTCATTCATCACTCTTTCACTCTCTAGCTCAATCTTTTCATTTTAGGTTAATACACACTTTTCCCCCAATTCTCTGATTGTAATAGACTATTTGTGTTGCTTTTTATGTGTTGTTAAGTGGCTTATTTTGTTGTCTTATTTTCTGTTTTGTTGAGTGTTTTGAATTGAATTTCTGTTTAACTTCAACAAGAATAGACTGATTGAGTGAAAATTATAGTTTCTTTTGGGTTATATCTTTCAGCTTTTGATTGTTATAGTATTGAATCACTTGATCTTTGCTGTTGCAGGATGAGAGGTGTGGTCTAGATCTGTATTTTCGGATGCAATTGGTGATTTGTGGCTGTTTTAGTCTGAGAAGCTGAAAGGTGTTGCTATTTCATAATGGGTGCTGCTTGTTTTGTTGCTGCTAAAGATAAGACTGTACAGAGTGGATCGACGAATGAGAATTCACATCGGAATATTCGGTGTTCGCCGACGTGGAGCTTTCGTTGGGATCATCGAGGAGGGCGTGTAGCTGGTGAAGATACTTCTATAAACTGGTTTTCTGATGGGAATAGCAGGAATGATGGTTCGGAGAATAAAAATGAATCAGGGCATGTATTAGAGGATGGAAGTCCATTGCAGAACTGTCAAACGAATGCATGCCGAAAATCGCCGATTTCTGAAGGTGCTGCTGCAAATGTTAGAGATTCAACTTCAGGTAACCTTCAAACATTTAGCTTTATGGATTTAATTTTGAACCTACATGGTTTGGACTGTCTAGAATTGTATTTTGTATCAGTTATTTTACAATTCATCTTGTTTAGATTCCACGTCCACTAGAAATATTGCCAAGATATTCCTTATAAGACTTGAAAAAACTTCACCGTAAGAGCCAACTTGTCGGGTGAAGTTATATATAAACCAAAGTTTGAGATACCTGTCCACATTCTAGATGTCTAGTTGTAAATGCAAGAGGGTGTTGTTATTGTGCCACCCACATCTGTCCATGCTTTAGATGCTGGTCTTGAAGGTGGGAGTGTGTGTTGAGGTCCCACATCAATTGGAGATACAACCAATGTGATCTTAATTCGGGGTGGCTAACGGGTATGGCCGCCTCCGCAAAAGCAAGCAAAAAATTGGGGCGGGGCAGACCCTGCACTCCTAAAGCCTAAAATGGCAAAAAGTCATGCCCACTAGTTAATGCCCGCGCCCGCCAAAAATGGTGCGGGGCGGGGCGGACAAAGTAGGTGTGAGTCCAAAATCTTGGCTTATCTGCAAAATATTGTAGGCAAAACAGGCATGCCTGGCGGTCCGGCCCGTTTTGTCAACCCTAATCATAATAATGCTTGGGTTATGCTTGACCTTAATTACTATCTTTTGGTGTTGTGTTATCCTTGACCTTAATTACTATCTTTTGGTGTTGTGTTAGGCCTAATGTCACAAATATATGTGAAGGATACGAGTTAGTACTTGGTGACATACATTAAATTTTGAGACATGGTTATACCTTCTCAAATATACTTATATCAACATTAATCAATTTATTCTGGATCCTACCCTCAAATTAATACCATATGGTTCACTCTGGCTATGCTTGGATATTGCAAAATGAACGGAGTGGAAAGGAGCGGAGTAGAATGGAATAAAGATGTCATTCCATTGTTTGGGTATTTCATGACGGAATAGAGCAATTTTGTCATTCCTCCCAAATCGGAGGGTACAAAAAATGATGGAAAGTGAAGGAATGCATTCCATCGGTTCTGCGCCATTCTATTCTTTTTTAACTAATCCAAACAATGGAACATAAGTTTACACCATTGCATTCCATTCCATTAATCCAAACATAGCTTCCGGGTCAATTATACTACACTGTGAATTTATGACAATGTTTAACACTCAATAGTTAATAAGAATGTTTTTGCAAGTTGTTACTTCCTCAGTCTCATATAATTATTAAGTGTCTTTTAAGTTTATGCACACTATTTAAGAAAATCAGACTTCTATGCTAAAATGAGTTTCATTTACTAAAGTTCCTTTTTTAATAGTAGTTAGTTAGTGGAGTGGTTGAGTGCTTTGAGCTACAATGAATAAGGGTATAATAGTAAAAATAATAATAATTGTTTTCACAGGTAGTCTAAAAAGACAAATAGTATGAGACACAGAGATATTCTAAACGAGACATTTTAATGAGATGGAGGGAGTACACCCTTTAATTTATTTGCAATTTTTCTTAAGCTGTGTTAAAAAATAAAACCCAAAGCGATATCTAGCTAGCTTTTGTGGGTAAAGTACAAACTCAAATTCTAAGATGGTCTCGGGGTCTATTTTTATCCAATTAAAGCTTAATAAGAGATTTGCATCAAATAAACTGGACAAAATAATGACATTGACTGTAAACTTGTAATCATGATGATGCGGATGACAGTCCATTATTTATGTTAATCTCAGTTAAATCTGACCACCTGAACTTTTCTGCTAAGATTTGAACTATGTAATCAAAAGCTCTGCTTTATGTTAACCTGTCATACCATACTAGGCAGTCAATTCTGCAAAGTTTTTTTTTTCTTATTTAGTGTAAGTATGGTATGACACTATTATAATGTAAACGATCCAGTCATTGGCAATTGTTCTGTCAACTGGTTCTTTTGTAGTATCTGACATGGTTATTCATGTGTATTGCAGATGTATCTATTTCAAGGTCTGTGTCTATTGATGCGAGCCCGGAACAGGTGAGATAATACGGTGATTTTTAAAAAAAATAATTATGTTCCATTTTTGCTTAGCTGTTGTTGGTATGGTTTCTTTTACACTCTCGTAACTAATAAATCACTTTCTAGGCAAATGGGTTGGGAGAATCATCGATAGCGTCTTGGCCATCACCTGCAAAACCATCATTGCATTCAGCTTCATTGTCTGCATCTCCTTTATCATCCCAATACCACATGCTTCCACCTAGCTTTACCCCATCAAGGTGGCCCGGCCATTCCCCAGGACACCAGGTGTTATGGCCAACTTCTGATATTCGAATGCAAGCATATAAGTCTCCCGGCAGCTTCTCTCTGTCTGAGGAAAGACCTGTGTTTCCTTCATGGAGCAACGGATCAGGAATGCGCTCCCGTGGGGGATCTTCAGATGGTTGGTCTATACCTGGCTTTTCAGAGCTGATGGGAACTCACCACAGACAAAGATCGTCATTGGATAGTGAGTCCTTTGGTTCTAATTACGAAAGGATAGCTAGATCCGGTAGTTGGTTTTCAGCCTCACCAGTTGATTTGAGAACATGTGGCTTTTGCTCAAAGGTTTTAAGGGAGAAGTCTCCTTGGAGTACCCAAAAGATATATACAAATAATGACCCTTCTGTAGTTGCTGTTCTTATCTGTGGACATGTCTATCATGCTGAATGTTTGGAGAATATGACAGCTGATATTAGTAAGTACGATCCAGCTTGTCCAGTCTGCAGCTTCGGTGAGAAACAAACTATGGAGTTGTCCAAAAAAGTTCTGAAAGCTGAAAAGGATTTGAAGGCTAGAAACCAGACATTGGAGAATCAGGTTGAGTACAGTGATATTGAAAACGATGATTCTGTTGTGTTTGATAGCATTAAAGTGAAAGAACCTATAGGTAAAGATAAAGGTCCTCGAATGGGATCCAGTTCTCGTGGGAGAAGCTCCTTTGGAAAACCTTTTTTGAGACGACACTTTACATTTGGATCAAAAGGTTCCAGATCCACGGTAGATAGTCACCCTACAAAAAAGAAGGGCTTCTTTTGGTCAAAATCAAGCAAAGAATAAACTTCTTCTTGGTTGTTTGGAGGTTAGTTTCATTTTTTTCTTTGTATTGCATGCGCCAATTTATCATAAGCATCCTCATAATCGTTATCTGGAAAGCCCTAGTAATTCTCTAGCATAACATGATTATTTTCACCACCTTTATAGCAGGCTCTACTCCATTGTTGATAATCTCTGCACCCTTAAAAGGATTATGGAGCATCTATACACTAATCTGTGATTTCAAGAAAAATAGAGGCTGAAGTTACTATGTAAAGAACACATACAAGTATCTTTTTGTGCTGTACAGGTTGATTTGTTTATTTTATGGATATGATTCATATATCCAAATGATGTTATGCCGTCCGTGATTCTTCTTGTATGCAAGGCACGGCAATAGCCCAATGATGTCTCTGGTGTCGGGCAATAGTCTCTACAGATTTATAGGCAATCGCAATACAAATTATTTTGATTGACTTTGGTTGGTTGCTTTTAATAAAAAGAAAGTTTCTGATCTGCTATCATCAAATTTGTGGTCCGGTAAATTTATTGGTGAGATGATGTAGTCTTCACATGAGAGGTAACAACACGAGAGGATCAAATATGTGTTGTATGAAGTCTTGACATCAAAGTTGTTACCTCAACCAATGACTAGAGAGTTCCTTCATGTTTCATTTATTGTACTCTAAATATTCATCACTTGAACTTATTTTAAAGGCCAATTTTATCCAAGACCTACTACACCCTAAGATATATCTCATCAAATGTTATTTTCTTTTCTTCTTCTTGTATTACAACTTTTTGAATGAACTTTTTCTTTTGTTCATTTAGAAGTAGACTTTGACACATGATGACACATCTTTAGTTTTTTTTTTTCTTCTGCGCGGCTGTATTTTTATTAGTAATATGCATTTCAAAAATTATTTTTATGTCATTTAATTTGAATTTTATTTTAGTCAAATGCATTCTTTCTACTTTATATTTTATCTTAATAATATTTTGCTTTTTGTTTTGTTTTTTTGAGTTTTAAAATATCCTTTAAAACATCAAATTTATTCTTTGCCTTAATAATCGTTTATACCTATCTTTTCAGTCAACAAACCTTTGTTGCGTTTTGATTAATGTAGTTATGGACTTCCCTTGTTCCTTTTTTATGATGTGAACAATTGCATTCCTTTGATTAAGTAGCTACTTTGTTTTTCATTTTGGTAGCACTGGAGTGTGGTGATTCTATTTTTGGTTCTGTTTTTGATTCTTTTATTTTCCCTCCAATTTTGTATAAGGGTCTTGACCAAGTTTTTATTGTGTTTTGTGAAATTTTTATCCAAATAATTACTTTTTTTCCAAATAAATTTCTATATTATCCACCTTTTTATACATAATCTCTAAACTAACCATTTTTTTATATTTTTAAATTGAAACGTAGATGTGTTGTCAGATGAATTGATGTCTTTATTTAAAAAATAAAACGTGTGGTCAATTAAATTGGTGACTGCACGTGGTGTTGCCAATCTAATAGACGACCATGTTGAAAGAACAAGAGCTCGCGCCAGTTGGAAGAACAAGAGCTCGCACCAATTTAACTAGCGCGTGCATTGTTTTTCTTTAATAAAAATGTTTATATAAAAAACTAAATAAAAAATACTAATATTTAGTTTAAATTACTTTTATATACGAAAATAAAATTAACACTAATAAGGACAGTCGAGTTGGTCTTACCGGTGACCATTTTCACACCTCCTAACTACCCTAATTCGTTGCGACCGCGGTTGATTTATCTCAAGTGTTTGAGGATTTGAGGTCCCAGGAACATCACCATTACCAAATTTTCTAATAAACTCGTGGATTTCTAAATAGTCTTGTATATGCATTGACGCGTTGTCATAATTAAGTTAGTGACACATGTCAGAGTAGTTCTGTAGTGTTGATGGGGTTATTGGTGCGTGGCCTGGACAATTGAATAGCGACATTGGTGCGAATGACTCGTTGGAGAAAAAAATAAATGGTTGTTATGGTGTTTGGTAGAAATATGTTTGTTGCATGTCTTGGAATTGTGATGTTTGAGTGTTTAGACTATGGTAGGAGGAAGTGTTGGTGTTATATGTTTCTTGCATGTTTTGGTTATGGTAGGATGATGTGTTGGGAGCATGGATGTTGAGTGTTTTGATAATAAACATCTTGTTGGTGGTATGAAGTATGCTCTTGGTATTGCTTGGGTGGTTGACATGTATTGACTATGGGTTTGAGTGTTTGTTGGTCAGTAATTTTGTTGGGTTAGGAGTAGTGAGTAAGTGGTCTGATAATTTTGTGGGGGGTTAGATGTTGAAACATGTTGAAACTTCTTGTGTGTCATCAAAGCATCACGTAAGACTCGTTGGCGACGATGCATTCGTTTACGATAACTAAATTTAGCGAAGTCCTTTCAATTGTCAAAGGCCTACTATTTATTAATTTTACGTTAATGCCATTGTTTGAGGCACGTCGGGGAATTTGAGATTTGTTGAAGCATGTTGAAGTACAGTTCACACAGTCACTATGGTGCATCTTCATAGTGGTGAATCTGATGATCGGTGTGCATGCAGTCCAAACAACTGCATCTTCTTCTCTAGTTTCATGATGATGTTCCAAGCCTAGATATGACCGCCAAATAAACTGTAGAAGAAAACTAAATTAGATTATAAAATGGGTAATATTAAAAATAAATTATTATGAATTGATTAGTTTAATGAAAATACATCGCATGGTGTAAGGTGATCCAAGAGATTGCGATACTGAGTGATGCAGTGTCTAGGATATCTGTTGTAAGTCATACCACGAGCCAACCATCTAAACCAAATTTGTTAAAATAAATTATTTAGAAATAATAATGAATAAAGTAAGTAAATGAAAGTAATGTTATTAACTTACTTTTGTGCGTATGAGAATGTGAAATTGTTGTTGATGGACACTAACCCACATTCAATTACAATCTTTGACTGTCATAGACACACTTTTAGTGTAAAAGAAATAATGAACCACAATGAGGGGAGACATAATGGATACTATCATGTCGAGTTACATAGAGGTTGATGTGACTGTGGTATGTTTCAAGCCTTCTATATGTATTGCTCTTATGTCATTGTGGCATGTTCATATGCTCGTCAAGACACTCCCAAGCATTTATACATCCTTTACAAAGTCATAAACGTATTCAACGTGTACAACAATAACTTTTCGATGGTAGTAAAGGGGGATTATTGACTTACATATCAAGGAAACATAATTTGGTACAACGAAAATATGTGAAGGAAGAAAAAAATCACCCCAACAACACGTGTATTAGAACAAAAATGGACACGACTGATAAAATAATAAGATTATGTGATATATACCGTCAACCCGGACACGAACGAAAATATTATCCTAATATTGAAGCAAATTCTGCATGATAATTTATTTATTTTTTCATTAAATTTTTGTAACCTTGCTAATATATATATATATATATATATATATATATATATATATATATATATATATATATATATATATATATATATATATATATATATATATATATATATATATATATATATATATATATATATATATATATATATAAACACTCTCTAAATATAAACAACCCATGAATATAAACACGCCTAAAACAACAACATAAGCAACAAATAAAAACACTTAACACCATAACATGTCTAAGAGATTACAACAATCAAAACAATATCATTTGGTACAAACATTATATCCCTAACATCTTTAACTTGCACTTATATACACCGCATAACATTATTGTCAACTGCAATTGAGATGTACGAAACAAGTCTTTCGATACTTCTAATTTTTTCCCATCATTAATCTTTCCATTTAACGGATGGTTCATACTCCTTTGAAATTGCTCGAAACTTTGGATGATTTAAAAATGCATTTTCATCGTAGGTTTCGTTTTCGAATAACATATATATCTATTTCTTTTAACAATCATGATAGAAGTATGAAGTAAATGGTAAAAGACACCTCTATTTATATTAAGATGAATATTCAATTCATAGTAGTCAGTTAAATTGACCTTATCACTTAGATTACGTACATATGCGTCAGATCAATTGATGCCAATTCTTAAACATGTAGTTATATTGACGATTTTTTTTTTTAAATAGATGCGCTAATTCAGATAAAATATTTCGTACTTTGTTTAGATTGTTTTTAATTTTAATACAATTGGTTGAGAAAAATAAAATAATTTGGCATCTGAGATGATAGATGTGCCTGGTCAATGCATCTGAAGAGGCAATTTGACAGATGTAAGTAATGAGTGCATCTATAGAGGATAAGATGATTCATCATTCAAAAACTCATAAAGCAAGCAAGAAAACAGAATGTAGAGCAGAACCTTGCAAGTGAACATGTGTCCTCAGGCATCTTACGTGGCAACGGGTGTGTTCACCACCTAAGTACATGCATAATGTATACTCCACCGCCAATACTTTCTTTTGCTTTTATATAAGAAGCTAACAATAACAACAAAATGGTGCAGAAAATGGCTGGAGTACAGATAAGAGACGAATTTGGAAACCCAATCCCAATCACAGATGAATTCGGTAATCCCGTTAAGTTAACTGACGAACATGGCAATCCTATCCATCTTACCGGTGTAGTAACCTCCGCCGCGGCTACACCTTCTGTTTTTGGAACTTCCGGTACGCCCACCACTACAGATTCTGGCTTTGCTACTTCCGGTACGGCCACCAACACTACTCTTAATCCCACTGCAGGTTCTGGTTTTGGAACCGACGGTGCGGCCACCACTACTCTTAATCCCACTGCACGTTCTGGTTTTGGAACTTCCACTACTCTTGATAATCCCAGTGCAGGGTCTGGTTTTGGAACTTACGGTACCGGTGCTTACGGTGGTGGTGCAACTACAAATACTAAAACAACGGTGGCAGATCTAATTTCCACCGAACCAGCCAGACAGAAGGTCCATCACACCGATCAGGCTGCAGGAGGAGGGCTCCGTCGTTCCTCCA